TTGAACACTTTGGTGCAAAAGGCACCAAGGATGTGGTGAATGAGATGGGGACACCCAAGTCTCAGTTGCTATGGATCCTTGGCTGGAAGGGCTAGCTTGGGCACACCGCCAAATGTGGGGGATGCCCCCGGGGTCATAGTCAACAACTTAGAAGGGTCTGGAAGACCTAATTCCTATTGATAGACCTATTAAGGGGTCAAGATGAGATCACTAGGTGATCTTATAACTAAACAAGGATAAAGTCTTTGTTTGGGTTAAGGAATATGATTCCTAGTTCAAAGTGTTGATTTGAACTATTGATAAAGGTGTGGTTTGGTCAAGGTGACCAAGTGGGAAGAACACCTAAGGGAAATGAGCTATGTCAATGCTATGGCATAGTAAGTCCAAGGAAAGTAGTCTCTATAAGAGATCCAAGGGAGGGTCTCAAAAAGTTGGGCCATGATAAAGCCCATGATAGAAAATGTTAAAGAGACGTACTAGGGATGAACACCCTCTGGACTTGGCAAAGCAAAGTGTTTGTTATGGAACCGAAAGGAAACCTCAAAAATGGAGGTAGCAATCCTATGTTACTGGGTGCAACAATCAAGGATAGGAGCAAAAGACTAGTGGCTAAGAAAAGAGCTATAGGAATCATGCGAAAAAGTCCAAATGGCAAAGTTAAGCCGAGAACACTAATGTATTGGGTGCTAATGGATTGTGGGAAAGGCAATGTTTCCCCAAGGATGGATTCCCAACCGCTCCGATTTGGCAAAAGTGGATGCTCCAAAGGGGGGAGTGGTAATGTAGCCAAATAATAGGGCCGTGGACAGCCCTAGCACAAATAATGATAATTGGAACGTAGTGCCAATGGTGGCACAAAATATAAAAGAGGATGATGGTGCCTTCAAGTAGAGAACTCCCTAGGATGGGGAAGCGGAGTTGCACAAAAAGTGCAAAGCAAGGTGTTAGAGACACCTAGGAAATTGACTCCAAAAAGTCAAAATTAAAAATTCCAAAGTGCAAAAGTTATATCAATGGGAACTGAGCTTGGTGAAGTGTTTAAGAGCCGGCTCTAGTTCCTCCGGGAGATTGACTATCCGATGCTCCCAGTCCAAGTGTGGGTGGCACTACCTACTTGGATACCAGGTGTGGCTCAACGGAACCTCGCTCTAAGCCCATGTCTAGAGCACCCAATGGCGGAAGGTGGGGAGAGTACCCAGGTGGCTCGCGTAAGGCCACGGTGTTCCAAAGTGTTGTCCCAAAGTCCCAGACTGTGGAAAGGAAAATGAGCAGTCCTTTGGTGTGGTGGCCAAGGATACGGTCATGTGGTGAGGAAGTCCCAGAGGACCATGGGACTTAGTGGTCAGGCTTGTGGGCCTCGATCCAGTGGCAGTGTTGGCTAACACGGCCGAGGGTAGAAAGGGACTTAGTAGGGACAGACAAAGGGATATTGGGGAAGGCTGTTCCCCTTGTCGGTGGGCATCCTAAGGATGCTAAGGAGTGGATTTGGGATGACCACTCATGGATGGTTGGCTCAGTCTTTGAGAGACAAGACTGTGTTGCAAGTGGTATTGGACTACCGGTGTGGCAAAGGTGATTGGGAATGGCCTTAGCGTAACAGGCTGCTATGTCGGTGGTACCTTTGAGTGTCGGTCATGGGATCGGACACATGGAGCACTTGGACCAGGTGCAAGGGTGGAGTGGCATGGATGCCACTCTTAGGGCTAGCAAGTCCCAAGTCCTGAATTGGACTTATGGAGGTTGTGAATGAAACTCCTCCAAGTGGGCAGAGGTGTGGTTAAGGGACTAAAGTAGAATGGAAAAATTAGTCGCTTACAGGAGTGTGAGATGGAGTCTGAAATGGACCCAAGATGGATTCGATATGAACCCAAGATGGATTTGAGATGGAGTCCGAGATGGACTCGAGATGGAGTCCGAGATGGACTTGAGATGGAGTTCGAGATGGACTCAAGATGGAGTCCGAGATGGACCCAAAATGAAGTCCGAAATGGACCCAAAATGGACTCAAGATGGAGTCCGAGATGGAACCGAGACTGAGACTGAGACCAAATCCAAGTCCAAGACCGAGACCAAGTTCGAGTCCAAGACCAAGTCCGAATTCGAGTCCGAGTCCGAGTCCGAATACTAATATAGGCTGTTGGGTGAAATTGTCCCCCAGGGGAGGGGCTACAAGGGGTTCCAAAAGTATGGTAAGGAGAGTGTGGGGGTTAGACCCCAGTGGAGTCAATTTAGCTAGGAAAGGCCAGTTTGGCCCAAGAAAACTATACCCAATGTTGGTCATGGGATTGGACATGTGGAGTACTTGGACTGAGTGCAAAGGTTAAATGGTATGGATGCCATTCTCGGGGCTAGCAAGCCCCAAGTCTTGAGTTAGACTTATAGAGGTTGTGAATGAGACTCCTTTAAGTGGTTGGAAATGTGGTTAAGTGACTAAAGTGGAATGGAAAAATTAGTCACTTACAGAACCTTGATTGAACGAGCATCCCCAATTGGAATCGGATAACATGTGGCAATCTTGGCCCCAGATGATAAGTCAAATTTAAAGAGATTAGCATACTCCTTCATAAGCTGGTCAACCACTATAATACGAAGATTGTTGGAAAGGAAGAGTGGAACAAGATAGAAATGTAGGAGGAAGTAGTGGGGAGACAAAAATAATAGAAGTAGAGGTAAAAGTAGAAGGATAAAGAAGTACGGAAATGAGAGGAATAGATGAAATATAAGGAAGTATGAGACAAGTGGGAAAAACCTCAAAGTCATACTTAACATGATTGCGCTACAACCCATACCAAGGATGAGGTCAAAAGCTTGACTTGACACCACTTGCAATGACTACAACTCAAGCTTGAGATCACCTACACACACAACTAGGTCTGCCTGATCTCATACACATGCATGTGTATGGCTATTGCTATAATGAATGAAAATTGGTTTTGTTGCACAATGCAAGTGTAGACGGCAATGTGTGGCAACAGGTTGAGCAATAAAAGATAAACTCGAACCTGTATCAACTAACACAGAGAGAATAATAGAAGACCTTTTGTTATAAAAATGAGCTTGGAAAGTAAACACTAGATGAATCAGTGCTAAATGAACCCCTTGATGATACTCCCAAAAAAAAAATGGAGGGGTTATTGACTTATTCGCACAAGGTCCCCTATTACTCGCATGACTCTTTATTTCCCAGATGCATCTCGGTGTCTAGACTTTCCACTGCAGTAGCACCAATAAAAAGTTGTTGACGCCAAGGTCTCCACCCAAGAAATGGAGGTCACCAATCTGGAAAATGCCAATAACGCTGATAAGTGTGACCAACTTCATCACATGCCCAATAGCGAATATCACGGCCATAACCACATCCTCGCCCTTGTCCTTGGACTCGAGTAGCAGCAGCATCAACCTCTTGGAACAGGACCATCGCTCATAGGAAGTGGAGTGGAAAGATGTGCAGCAAGAAGTGGAAGAGGCGACATCTCGTAACATTGTGCCAAGTGAAGAGCATCGTCAAGGGTGGCTGGAGAAAGTGCATACACAAGTCCGACAAGATCTTAACGAAGTGCTGGCCACAACATTCCTAGCTTGATTCTCTCTGATATATTTGGCTCCGCATGAAGAAAAAGGCTTTGGAAATGAACGCCAAATTGCATCACCACCTCAAATGGCCCTTGACAAAGACGATGCAATTGCTAAAAATCATCATCACAATCATCAGCATGTCCAAATGCGCATTTGAAGACATTCTAGAAAACACTCCAATCCCCACGAGTGGCTGCACTCAAACCATTATACTATTGCAATGCTGTCCCTAGAGCCATGTGGGAAACTCACGCAAATGTCGAGCATCATCCCAAAAATGATATATGGCAATCATTGTGAAGTGATCGAACCAATAGTACACATCATCCTCAAGATTCCCACAAAAGATCTTCAGTCAAATGCAAATATTGGCACCAAGAGCAAGAGGAGCTTTACTATGTGTTGTGAATGCCACCATCAATTGAGTTTGGTTGTTTAATTACAATTGCATGGCATCAAACAATTGCACCAACTGCTGCTCTAGAGTCAGAGGAGGAGACTACTACTTTGCCATGAAGATGAATGAAAAGGAAAAAGCAAAAAAAGAGAAATGAGAAAAAACTAGAAAGAAAAGGAGATCTAGACAATGGAAAAGTTAGATTTAAACCAAAATCCTGAAAAGAAAGAATAAAAAAAAGGAAATAGAAAACGTTAAATCTAAACAATTCAAAAGCTAAATTTAAACCAAAATCCTAAATTCAAGCACTCTCAGGGACAATGGAAAATGCCCCTCACCTCCACCAATGTGAGTGTTTGGAATATGAAAAGGAAATATAGAAAATGTGCATATCAATTAGCCCAAAAACTCTAATTTATATACAAGAGTGAGCGGTCTGAATTAAAATAAATCCGATGGTTACCAAAATCCCACTACGCTAATATTAGTATATAGCATCTTAAACTTCACAATTGTTTTATATAAATATGTTATAAGTGGTATTTAAATTAATATTAAATTATTTTTATATTTTCATTGTAGGGAGATTGAGTTTGATTCTTAAGAAATTTTCCTCAAAATATATTTTTTAGTTCTCAAAATTAATTATCATTAATATTTTATATGATTGATTATAGTTGAATGATGTAATGTCATTATTTTTAGTTTTCTTTTGAAATGTTCATTTTTGCAAAATATGATAGAAAGATTAATTCTGATTATGTGAATAACTTTATGATGAATACAAAACATTATTATGAGTTTTATTTTTTGAAGCATGTATAAATGATATATAGCTATGTTAGTTTAGTAATATTTAATAAATTCTATAATTTTTTTAAAATAGATGAATTATAACAAACCTTTAACTTAGAAAATATTAAATTTTAATTAAAGTTTATTTCTTCTTTGGAATTAGTGATGACATTAAAATTTCGTTCCTAATTAAATATAACTGGTTAGCTTAATCTTTCCAGATTTAGGGTTTATGGAGATGAAGGCGGCGATTCTGGGAGCTCAGGAAACTGCTTCGGATTTGATCTCTTTCCTCAATGCCGCGCCTACGCCGTTCCACGCAGTCGGTAAGATCGTTTTACTTAGCGATTCGTGCCTGGCCGGCGCGTTTGATTACCATTTCTCTTCTCCAGCCGAAGCTAAGCGAAGGCTAGAAGCCGCTGGGTTCACGCAATTGTCCGAGAGGGATTCCTGGGCGCTCTTGCCCGGCGGCACTTACTATTTCACGAGGAATTTCTCCACTATCGTCGCATTTGCTATTGGCAAGAGGTACCTTTTCCTTTTTTTTCTTTCCAGTTTTGGTTCATTGTTGGTTTTCCAGGTTTTACCCTGGTTGTGGATTTGCTATCGTGGGAGCTCACACAGATAGTCCGTGTCCAAAGCTCAAGCCACGCTCAAAGGTTAGCATGTCCGCTAGATTTTTTTTTCTTCCCTGATGAAGTTAGTTTTTGCTTGGAAGATTGTCAAAGGAGGATTTCTGGAACTGGGAGTCCAGACGTATGGCAGTGGTTTATGGCATACCTGGTTCGATCGGGACCTTACAGTCGCAGGGAGAGTTATGGTCAGGCGTGGAAATGGCTTCTCTCACGAGCTCGTTCACGTCAAGGAGCCAATCCTTCGCATACCAACGCTAGCTATCCATCTTGACAAGTACGAAAAGCTCGATTTGTTTTCCTCTTCTTTTTCTTACGAGTGCTGGATCGTTTTTTCAGGACTGTTTCTGAGGGGTTTAAGATCAATACCCAAACACAGCTCGTTCCAGTTTTAGCTTCCTGTATAAAGGTGAAGTTCTATGTTGGAGTGAATGATTGTCTTCATAGTTTTTGTGTAGGATGAATTGAGTAAGTCGCTCCCTGATGAAAATGGAGCCTTGGTGGCGGAGGACGCAAACAGCAAAGCCGAGGCACACCATCATTCTCTCCTTCTAAAGGTATTTTACACTTCAACGGAATTGCATGTTTACTCTGGTCTCCAGATTCTTTCTTCGGAGCTAGGCTGCGAAAGCGATGATATTTGTGACTTTGAGCTGCAAGTCTGTGACACCCAGCCCAGCTCCATTGGTGGCGCTCTCAAGGAGTTTGTTTTCTCTGGCAGGCTCGATAATCTTTGCATGTCCTTTTGCTCGTTGAAGGTAAAAGCCATCTCTGTTTTCCAGTTTTCTTACTCGTTTTTCTCCAGGCCCTTATCGACTCGACCTCCGAAGCTTCCCTGGAGAACGAGACCGTCGTGCGAATGGTTGCTCTGTTCGACCACGAGGAAGTCGGATCCAACTCCGCACAAGGCGCCGGCTCTCCGGTGATGCTGGATGCGCTCAAGCGGATCACAATCTCCATGGGAGAGGAAAGCTCCCAGAACGTAAGTAAACTCGTTCGCACTTATCTCTTGCTTGAAGTTATCTTTTCCAGGTAGAGAAAGCAATCCAGCAAAGTTTGCTAGTGTCCGCTGATATGGCACACTGCTTACATCCAAACTATATGGTAAGGATCTTGGAAAAACAATGTTTTTGAACTAAACAAACGCCTTGACCAGGATAAACACGAGGAGAATCACCAGCCAAAGATGCACAAAGGCCTCGTCGTGAAATACAATGCGAACCAGCGATACGCCACAAACGCAGTCACGTCATTTATTTTCAAGGAGATTGCGAGACGACAGGACCTTCCAACACAGGTGATAAGAATTTTTTTCCAGAGGAAAAACGCGAGGAAAACTAACATTTTTCTTCTTCTCTGGCAGGATTTCGTCGTCCGAAACGATATGGCTTGCGGATCAACGATCGGGCCAATCTTAGCTAGCGGTGTTGGTATCCGGACGGTCGACGTTGGCGCTCCCCAGCTCTCCATGCACAGCATCCGCGAGATGTGTGGAGTTGACGACGTTGGTTACTCGTACCGCCACTTCAAGCTCTTCTTCGAGGACTTCTCAGCACTGGACCAGCATGTAAACGTCGATTAGTAGTCTCCACACTCGACTTGATGGTCCTGTTGGTGATAGCTCCCAGAGCTAGACGCTTGTCCACCTGATGGCTCAGCTTGGCGATTGCCAAAGAAATCCGTGATGCATCGGGCTCCCGGAGGCGGAGGATGAAACTGCTGTCTCTTGGCCTTTGGATCGTCGTTCTCTTCCTCTTCTTCTCCTTCTTCTTCGGCACTGTCGTCCTTCTCCTCAAAAATGTCCATGGACTCGTCCAGGAAGTCGAGGAACTCCCTCTTTCGTTTGACAGCCGCCTCGAGGTGTGAGAGCCGGAGACTCTTGCGCTTGCCTTTGAGCATCTCCGAGAAGGCAATCGACGTTAGGCTCTCGATGAACTGCTGTGCTGCTTGGGTGATGGCCATCAGCGCTGGACGAGCCACCACCTTGATTTCTTTGTCGAGCTTGATGATGTTTTTGATCCTGGCTAGTGGGAATGAAACACTGATGTTGGTGGCGTTCTTTTCCTTGGATCCATCGTTTGCCGGAGTACTTTCCATGCATTCATCTGTCATAGAAAGCCTGTGAGAGAGAATTTTATTTTCCTTAGAACTCACCAGGCTCACGGTTCGTTTCTTCCTCTACTGCGGGCATTTGTTCCTTCGTGACATCCTCCTAAAGAATAAGAATCAATCAGAAACTTTGCTCTTCTTTTCCTTTTCGAGCGGAAGGAACCTGTTCTGCTTCGCTGCCGCCTTCTTTCTCGGTAATCTGGAAAGAAGGAAACTGTAGAACTTCGATTTTGATCACAAAGCTTTCTCACCTCGTCTGGATCATCACCAATCGCGTTCTCACTCGAGTCTTTCTCGAGCTCCACTGGCGGCACAGCTGATGTTCCATTGAACTCTTCCTCGTCTTGCGCTCTCTTGAAACGGGAATGCCGCATTAGAAATAAATTTCAATCCCTTCTTACCCCGTCATCGATATCATCCAAGACCTTTTCTCCAGCGCTGGCCGATTCCATCTCGATAGGCGCCGCTACAGTAGCCCCAGATTGCCGCTGCCCTGCCTCGACAAGAACATCCTGGATTGGATCGTCCGCCATAGCCATAAACCCTAGCTCCCCCAAACTTTGGCGGGAAACATTAAAAACCAAGAAAACTATTCTCCTCGGTTTATAAAAAAGGCCGGCTTTAGTCCTGGCCGTTGATGTAAATGATCTGACGGTAACAGCGTTCAAAAATAGCAGTTGTTTGGAGCAACGGGAGCTAGGGTTAGGGTTTGGGCGATGATTCTTCGTGTTCTTCGTGTTCTTTGTTTGGCCGTGCTGGGGACGCCGGGGGTGTGATCCACGCATTGGGCGAGAGAGCTGCGGCAAAGAGGTTCTTTGTCACTAGTTTAAGCACAGCTTTTTGGTCGCGAAGATGAGGAAGAAGCTCGACACACGCTTCCCTGCGGTAGGATTTTTGTTTTTCTTTGTTTTGATTCCTTGGCTTTGGCCGTTAACTAGGGCTCGATTGTTTCCTTTTGTTGCTCAGGCAAGGATAAAGAAGATAATGCAAGCGGACGAGGAAGTTGGGAAGATCGCTCTTGCGACTCCTGTGCTGATCTGTAAGTAAAAATTCGAATTTTTTTTCTAGAGTTGTTTCACCATCGCCTTGAATCGCAGCAAAGGCTCTGGAGCTTTTCTTACAAGACCTTTGTGACAAGACGTATGAAATAACTCTGGGGAGGGGGGCCAAGACAATGAGTTCTTCTCATTTGTAAGTACTAGATTGCTTTCCTTCTCAGTCTTATCCTTTTTTCTTGCAGGAAGCAATGTGTCCAAACTAATAGCGTATTTGATTTTCTTCGTGAAATAGTTTCCAAGGTCCCAGACATGGGCTCTGACACCGCGGACGAGAGAAATGGTAGCCGCCGAAGGTATAAACTACGTTTCCCCCATTTCTTCTTCGGTGATTTTCTTTTGGCCAGCGGCTCATGCCTCGCTGTGTGTGCTGTAGGAAAATCTCGGACGGAGATGACAATGGCTCGGAAGAAGAGGAAGTCAAGAGACCAAAATCGGTAAGACTTCAAGATCCCAAACTACTTTTTCAACCTTCCAACTGAGTAAAAATTTTGTTTTTTTCGCAGGAGTCCACTACAGTAGGAAGGGGTAGAGGCAGGGGCCGAGGCAGGGGGAGAGGTAGGAACGGAACCTCTGGCGGTAGAGGCGACGTTGTTCCGGAGAGGTTAGAAATACCAGCAGCTCACCACAAATCTGACGACGCGGATGCGGACATGGATAACGATGGTAGCACCGATACTGATAGCAACATAGGGAGCCCCAAGACGACGACGTCGATCACCACAACATCAACTTCGACTAAACAGGGACAGGGACAAGCGCCGGTTGGGAAGTCACAGCCCCGGGACTTTGATCTTAACATGGGGCTGGACGAGAACGGGGACATAGCAGGGTGTAGCGACGTGAAGAAGGAGAAAGAGGCAGTAGCAGCGGGTGTAGAGAAAGAGGAAGCGGCGGCGGCGGAGGAGGAGGAGGAAGAGTGGCCGCAAATACCATCGGACAAGATGAGGTTAGGACTGTTAGATTTGCACACCGAGAGGGGCCACGAGGAAGAGGACGACTACGACTGTGAAGATGACGACGATGGCTGAGAGCAGTGGCGGTGGTTGTAAGAAGTCCAGACTTCTTCAAGGTAAAGCTTTGGAGGTAAAGAAGTAAAAAAACGAGCTTGTACATTAATCCTGACTGAAGGACTTTGACACGGAGAGGGAAGGACGAAAAACCAAGGCTCTTTTTGTAAATATTTAGCTGTTTCTAGAGACAAGCTTGAAAAAAAAAATGATAGTTTTTTTCCTCTCGAGTCGGAATTAAAAAAAAATGATGTTTTTTCCTCTCTTATTACAGGTGTCGGAAAAAAAACATAATGCTTTTTCCTTTCTCTTTTTACAGGAGTCAGAAAAAAAAGGAATATATTTTCTCTTTTTACAGTATATGTGTTGTGTGTGTATCTTCCTTTCTCGACAAAATGAATCTTTTGACGATCTTTTGACGATCTTTTTTCGATCCGGCTATGGTACAAAGTGACGACCCTTCGCGCAAAAAAAGGAGGAAGAAGATGAAAAACACGAAAAAAGAACCGAGCGTGGCTTTCAAGTCGCCAGCAAATCGTCGTCTGATGACCAGATGATGTCCTTCAAGCTCGAGGACAAGCTCTTGTAAAACTACACGAAACAACAAAGAGATTCCTCTGTCAGCTGTCCGAAAACGAAAGGCAGCTAAAATTCTTCTCTGCTTACCGTGCGGTACTCGAGTGTGTCGCCCTCTGACTTCCTCAGCTCCACCATGTAGAGTTCCGGGCTCACTTCAAACACCTCCGTGGAGATGGACAAGAAGCTCTTTCCCAGCGAGCTCGACTTTCGTAGCTTCATCTGGCGGCGCAGCCAAAACCGGTCAAGCACAGACCAAACAAAACCACTTTGTATGCCTCGTTTGTACCTTGAAGTTTTGCTTTTGTTGGACATCCAGTCCGAGCGGCTTGGCGGTCTCCTCTATCTTCGAAATGATCTCCTTTGCGGAATGCATCGACGTAAATCTAGTCTCTTGCTTTACAGGTTCCTGCGCAAGAATAAAAATACTCGCGTGAGTTCCTGCTTGTCAAACTCGAGAATGGTTTGGTTTACCTGTTGCTTCTCGAACAGGCCAGAGAGGTCGAGTCCCGATGACATGGAGATAAGCTCGAACGCATTGATCAAGCCTGGCTTTGTCGAGGAGCCGGCCCCGGTGTGCTCCTACAACGAGAACAATACGATCAGACCGGCTTTCGAGCACAAAAGAGCAGGGAAACGTACCCCTGATTCGTTGAAAACGCTCTCCACGTCCCCTACAACCACATCTTCCTCGTGGTGAAGCTTTGCGGGCTTGTAGTCCTTCTTAAACCATTCGTTTTCCAGAATTTGCGGTATTGTGATGCGCTGCATAACCGACCACCGAGTCGTGTATGAGGATTGTGTATGCGTAGTGAGAATACAGAGCCTACCTTTTTCGGATTTGGATGTAGCAACTGCGCGAGCAGCTTACGAACACCGGGGCTAAACCACGATGGAACTTTAAACTCGGCCCGAAAAATCTACACCAGATAGTCAGCGGTCGAACAGTAGGGAATTCGTCGCCTACCTTTCTGTACAGGTTCATAATATTTGAATCCTCGAACGGCAAGAACCCGGCCATTAGGACATAAAGAATGACCCCGCATGACCACAAATCCGCTGGAGCACCATCATACCCCTTGTTGCTAATAACTTCTGGTGCAACATAGTTGGGTGTCCCGCATGTTGTGTGCAGCAAGCCGTCAGCCTGAGCAAGCAAAAACACGTAAACAAAAGATGCATCTCCAGCTAGCGCAAGTTTTGTCAGCATACCCGAAACTGTTGAGGCAACGCGCTGAGTCCGAAATCGGACACCTTCAAATTGCCATTTGAGTCTAGGAGCAGATTCTCAGGCTGCGCAGAAAAACCAAAGAGCTTCAGTACAAAAACGAGATCTTTTCCATGCACAAGGCACTGACTGACCTTGAGGTCCCGGTGGTAGACGCCGAGACTGTGGCAGTAATCTACGGCATTTATAAGCTGCTGGAAGTACCTCCTGGCATAAGACTCTTTGAGCCTGCCGTGCTTCACCTGAGACACACAAGAGCGCAGATTCAGTGGGAGAGATTAGCGTCGGTCAGCCCGTCGAGTGCTTACAATTTTGCCAAAGAGCTCACCACCTTCAACGAACTCGAGTACGAGGTAGATTTTCGTCTTGCTGGCCAGAACCTGGCATAAATTCAGAGCCACCAAACGAATTAGTCTCTTGCAGAACAGAAAAAACGACACAGAGAGAGAGAGAGAGACCATCCACCGACCTCATGAAGCTGTACAATGTTTGGGTGCTTCACCATCTTCATCGTCGAAATTTCTCGTTTGATCTGTGGCACAAGAAAGAAAGAAAAATCGCAAGCTCGCTCAGACATGTTCCAGAAAAAGAGAAAAGCAGGAAAAAAAAAGCATACCTGTTCGACCATCCTGTGCTTGAGGATCTTCTCCTTGTCAAGCACCTTGACGGCAACGTGTTCGCCAGTCTCGACGTTCCTCGCAAACCTCACCTTGGCAAATGTGCCTTCTCCCAGCGTCCTCCCCAGCTCGAACTTGCCAATCCGGCTCGGGGAGGCGCTCTTCCTGGGCGGCGATACGTTCTTGAGCCCCATCCTCACTACGGTGGGATCCATCCCTCCCTCCCTTGCTCTTGTCCCTCGACCAGCGATCGATCGCGAGGCAACGCGCAGATTATTCCATCTATCTGTAAACCTTGCGGCTCTCGCGTTTGCGAGCACTCGGCCGCCTCACCCTCGACTTCTTCTTGACGATCTTCACCATGCTGAATCGACCGCCTCCAGCTCTACGGCGCCACGACCTCACAAGAAAGGGGGAGAGGAAGAAATATTACGGTGATTCCAAGCCCCGATTGCTCTCGATTGGGATTGTCGGTGACAAATCGAGCTAGCGCAACGGCTGCCAAGAGATCACTTCTAGCCGCGAAATAGACGGCGCTGCCGCCACGAAGAGAAAGCCTCGCGTCGATGATCGATATCGACCCTTACCTATCGATCGATGATCCGTGGCGGTTGCTAAGAGCTTCGCACGAAGCTCTTGCCTAGTTCTTGACGGGGAGAAAAGAAAAGATGCGGACACCACAATATACTACACAGGGACACCACAACACGGAGGCCTCCGTTCCACTGACTGACGGCTCCGTCCGTCACTGCCAGCCCACAAACCCTAGCATCGGGTGCGAATATTCCGTCCGAGCGGCCGGCCCCCAAAGTTTTGCTGTGGTTGATATTTCAGTGGTTCACGTGAAGGAATCATTTGTCGCTGTTAGGGCATATGCGCCGTGTGAGAGAGGGGCAAAGATTCCCATGCCCCAGGGATGGATGGTTGTGAGCGCTCTGGTAGAAAGAAACACTATTAAACATTTTGGAGCGATTGATTGGACTGAAAAGCCAGAAGGTGGTACAGTCTTTTTGATTGGATTAGTAGAACATTCTCAAACCTTGTACGCCAGATGAATTGATTTTCCAAGGCTTAGACGCCATGCACACGGACACGTAGGGTTTAAAGCGCAAAATACCATACGATTTGCTTGGCTGGGTGATGGCGCAACAAAGCACTACTAGAAAAAAAATAAAATTTAATGAACATGACAATAAGAAGTGCGTTGGTGGGCGGTATGATTTTTTGTTTTGGTTGTAAGCGTCCAAGAGGAGGAGGAGAGATCGTTGCTTACAAATGCATATATTCTTGTATAATGGTGATCAGTCACCGCTCCCAGCCAAACTTAACAACACATTAATAATATTTTGTGACCGCAAATAATGGCATACCAGACAGAAATCCATAAATTAAGTTTGGAAAAGACCACTGGAACTCTCCCATTGTTGCATCTTTCATTCCATGCAACAATTGTGTTTCACCTTGGCATTTTTCAGTGGCGGCCATATAGTTTCGTGAGGTATTTGGTTGCCAAAAAGGATCCACAAAGCTGCCGCCTCCTACGCTCAGGCTTGGTTCGTTTTCGGGAAAATCAAGTTCGGCATGATCACTGATGCAGAGGCTCCAGCCCTCCCCCCAAAAGATTTCATACGCAGTGGTCAATCTCTCTACATCATCAAAGTTCCAAGGTGGCTGCCCGAGACAGGGACTCCTGTGTCGGCGCTTAGATCATTTTGTGTATAAAGATATACCATACGTGAGAATATAATATATATACACACGAGCATTGAAAAGCAAGTTTGTCTGAAACTAGGAAACTTCTCATCGATTTGCGATGGAGAAATTGAAAGTCTCAACCTTTGCGGCCATATCCCAACAACACAAAATGTATAGATAAGTAGAAAATTCAAGTAAAAAGTACTAGCGTTTTACAGCGCACATTTAGAATCTATGCATATGGGTCCAGGTCCCCACTGTTTGGTTTGCAAAAATGAAAGCATCTCAAATCTGCACCATACTTTTCCCACACATTCGTATAAACACCAAAAACAACGCACAACTTGCAAAGTCACCAGAGAGGAAAGAACAAGTCGAGCTGGGCTCCAGGATATACAAAAAGAAGAAAAAACCAAAAAGAAAAAAGAATACATATACCACTGTACAGATAATATTCCAGAATATTTTGGAATCGGGCATCTTTCGGAATGTGCTATGTGCCCACCATGCAAGCGTGCCACGCAAATGCGCGCTAAGTTTTGGTCGTTGCCACCTTGCAGCTTGCCCACACACATGCCATTTTCCTCATAGGTCAGTCAAGTAACCAGTTAGAAGCAAACACCCGGATCCTTATCTATTGGCCAAATTAAAAATGTTTTTATCGTTGATTTCATGCGTGATTCGCCATTCGTACCTTAGGGGGTGATGTGGAACCGTATGAGCCGCCACGTAGGGCCGTAGCTTCCAGCGCTCGTGGAGAAAAAGCGCGCTTTCTGTTGCCCTTGTCTTGGGGGACCAACCAGACTCGTACGATTTGTTTTGTCGTACGGCATCTAGTTATAATAATCGATATATCTATTAAGGCGTGGCGGCGTTTGAGTTGCCCGGACTATAAAATATGTTATTTTTATAGAAACTTAAGATTGCTCAAAGGAAACCATAGCAGATTTCCCATCTAACCTTCAAAACGATCATTACATATATAGTCGTCAAAATTTTCCCGGGCCAGGCAAAACGTAGAAAACCAAATAGAGGTTACCTCCTAGTTCTTCTTGACTGGTTTTTTTTTGTTTTTTTGTTCGTTCGTTCGTTCTTCTCCTTTAATTC